GGGATCATGAGGGTCATGCTAATGCTGAATCAGAAATAGAGCTCAGAATTTCAAAATCTTATTCAGGGACGTGGGTAACGTACTGGATTTATTTTTCTATGTTCTGGTTCCCACGAAAAGGGATATCCTGTAATGTTCAGAGAACATCGTGAGAACGAAGGAGAATAAGGTAGGAATTGGTGTTCTTGTTGAATTTCTGGAGGTTATATGCCTTGGGAAACACCTCCCTTGGCAATGTGTTCCAGAGCCTCGCTGTTCGTTGGATGAACGAGTCTTTGGAAAGAGATGTTCTGCAAGTTTCCAAAGTGATCACGAATGGGTGCGAAGCCTCAACTGGGGGCTGCCAAGGGAGGAACAATTGTTGATATTCCAGAAGAGCATCGTCCTCGAAAATATCTATAAAATAGAGCCAGATCGCCAACTTTTCTACGGTGTTCCAGAGAAGTGAGTGGGTTTGTGAGCGAGGCATCACAAGACGAATTGCCCCTTTTTGACAGAATCCAATAGTTTCGCCTTATAGATCATAAGCAGCTGACTGGAAGTGGTATAGCTCCTGGCTCGAAACAGATAATCAAGTTTTTGGGATGCACTTTTAGCAATTAATCTCACGTGATTTTCCCAAGAAAGGTTATTGCTGATCGAGTTGCTGATAGTAATACCAAGCATCGAAATGGATGTCTCCAAAGGTATGGTTACTCCTGACAAGCTTTTAATGGGCACAGTGAGATCGGCTTTTCTGGAGAAAAGGCATGCTTGTGTTTTGTTAGCATTGAAATCTACCAAGTTATTGGATCCACATTCAAGCATTGTTGCCAAGTCCATATTTATGTTGTCAACATTTCTCCCACTTTCGTTTCTGATTTGTCTGGCTGGTATTGAAGCCCTGGAAGAGAAGGCGGTATGGAGGGTACTATCATCTGCGAAGCTGTGCACTGGACATGAAGTTGCTTCCAACAAATCGTTGATATGGAGTGAGAATAGTGTTGGTGCTAGAAATGATCCTTGCGGAACACCAGCATCTATGATAAGAGAGTCAGATGGAACTCCGTCGACCACTACATGGAGAGACCTGTTTGAGAGAAAACTAGCTAGCAGAGAACATAGCAGGGGAGGCAAGCCATAAGATGGAAGCTTGGCGAGAAGTCCGTGGTGCCAGACTCGATCGAATGCCATGGAGATATCAAGTGCCACGGCTAAGGTTTCACCATATTTTTCAATAGATTGCTCCCATATATGTGAGACGTAAGCGAGCAGGTCACCAGTTGATCTCTGATGACGGAAGCCATATTGCCTATCGTCGATAATACCTGAATGTTCCAGGTATTTCATGAGCTCGATGTTGATAGCTTTCTCCATGATTTTTGAAATTATATATAGCAGTGCGATCGGTCTGTAGTTGCTGGGTAGGATCTTTTTGCCTTTCTTAGGAATTTGTAAGAGTAGTTGAACAACTTGCAGAGAACAGGTGTTAGTTTAGGAGCACATTTCTTGAGAACAATCGGTGGGATTGCGTCGGAGCCACAAGCTTCGTTGGTGTTGAGACCCAATAAAATCTTCCTTATTGTACGTTGGCGAAAGGTGATCTCGGGCATATGACTGTCAATTGGCGTTATGTTTGCTGTTTTTTCGATGAATCCAGAGTGAGATTTCCAGCAAATGAATGCGTAAAGTTGTTGGCTTTCTCCTGGGCAGTTGTGGCTAGTGTTCTATCTTCCTTGGTCAGAGGAGGAAACGAGCTGGAAGTGAAGTTTCTTCCTACAGCTTTGGCGAAGGACCAAAATGAACGGGATCCGTTTGGATATTCATTTACTACATATCATACTTATATTACCTGGAGCATTTATTCATTTACATCATGTTCGTTAATTCATTCATCGAGCATATTGTGAGGACGTGAATGATTCCAATAGGGGGTTCTAATATGTTTATTTGCCAATTTAAAATACATAATATAGCTCGTAATATACCTCAGTAGATACTCAGTTTGCAACAACCTACTTTTACACATTTCCTTGATTGTGCTCCATTGTTTCATATTTTCATTCGATTTAACAATAGACGATCGAAGATACATCTTCTTGGTCTCGTTTTTTCGTATCTTTCCTAGTTTCCAAGAAAAACATGAAGGCTCAATATAATTACAAATTATAATGTTAGTTGATTCAAGGCATCCATTGAGATCACTCAATAGCCATAATGAGTATAATTTGGAGGTATTGAGAGAAATGTATTCTTTCGGTTCTATGAGTGACCTTACCTTCACCAACAAATCTTCCAACCTTCGATTAATAAACCATTATCGTTCTAGATGACAACCTAGTTAGGTAGTTAGTAGGCAAGACCTCCTCCTCGCGTACTAGGTCACCTACTAGGTTTTCATTTAGATCGACAATGGATAAACAAATCTTATCTCTTATTCACTGAGAATAGTTCAGGGAGCAACCCCTTGAATTTTTGCCGTATGTTAAAAACATCTTGTATTGTATGTGCCTACTTATAAATCTAATCGACCATAGTCAGCTACACCAAAGCATGGACGTTGCGTTGAATATCATATTTTCATAGGTCATTAATTTGGTTCTTGTAATGATGGTATAATCAAATGAAAATTGGAACCGTTCTCTTCTAGAGTTTCATCAAAGATGAGGGAAATGAAAAAACGGCAAAGAACGCCATCCATGGTCAAACTTTCGAATCAAATGAAAGAATCCAAATTATGGTACGAAGAAGCAAACAGTCACGTCAAAACTGGAAACTTGGATACAGCTATAACAGCCTACAACAAGGTAAGAATTACTGATGTATTTTTCAATAATTGTATACAAAAACTAGTAGATATTTCATGGTTCAAGTAACTGTATGTATCTCATGAATATCAGTTCTTCAGAAGTTTATGAGCGATTAACATACATACATGCATATACTATGTTTACTATTGATATCCTGATGCTCAGATTTCAAGTCATACTTCTCAATACTGAAAAATCTGAAATAATGAGGTTTCGAAAATATCAATTCTCTATATGAGTAGGAAACCTTGATGAATTGCTAAAAGCTTCAGATGGGGTTCACCTTGTCTTTTGCCAGTCACGCAAGAACAAGATTTATTGTTGAAAAGCACATTGTCTTCTTAATATACCCTTATATTATTTCCTAATGACTTCAACTTGGAGAACATTTCACATTAGCTCTAAAAATAGTAATGTATAGGTACATTTGGTTCCCAAGACGAAATCAAGACAGTGGCACAATACGATCACTGAGTAATTAAATACATATCATACAGGGTAACCGAGAAGTCTTTGTGTCCGGAATTATTTGAGATACATAAGCAAGCATAATTTTGTGATAAAATAATTGTTTCCAAATTTTTGTCAACGTTGGTATGTGTACAATATTTCTTCGTCTATCTCCACCGGACCGTATATCATCCAACACCTGCACACTCTCCATTCTTTTTTCAAATAGTAAGTAGGTAAGTAAGTAAGTACATTTATTCCCAATATACACAGAACAGGTGTACATTTAGCCATTGGCATAAGGAAAGATAAGTGTAATTCTACGAAATTATTTGATAATGAACAAAAAAGTCTAAGCTTTATACATATGGAAACTTCATCGTCTTTTACTAATTCTACTGATGACTATTGATTTCGTTGGGCATGATATCATAATACTTGAAACTACTTAAAACTGAAGATAAGAATTTTTTTAGTTACTTGGGGAGCCGAATAGCAAAAAATTCATTTAAATCATAACATACATGGTGGTGTAATAAGTTCTTCAATGATTGTTTGAATTTTCTTATTGAAAGTTCCTTCATGTAGGAAGGCAAATGGTTATAAATTGGTATTCTTGTGTACAGGGGTCCATTTCGAGTTTTTTCATTCCTGTAGTTGGGCAGATTTATTTTATTGGTTCTTGTCATGTTCTGATGACGATCTGAATGTCGAAAAACATCACGTTTTTTATGAATCAAAAGGACAAGTTTGAATATGAATGTGTTTGTCAAGGTGGAATAAATGATGATGCATGTCGAACTTGCCTGGTAGTGGAAAAAATTCCACTGGAAGAACTAGAAAAGGACTTTCGAATTCCAAACTTACAGTTCAATCATGCCATAGGTCTACTTCTACTATTCACATCAATCGATTAAGGTTTCCAGTACTTTTTCTCTTGAGCTCCTTCCTTCCACAGATATTTTTAGATATCTATCAACATATTTAATTGGTCTCTCTCAGCTTCCTGATGGAATTATTCTATAGTCGATCTTCTTTGTGGTAATTTTTTGTAAATCCTATTAGTTTCAGTTTGTGATGATTTTTTTTAGATATACTGAAATTATATAATAATATATATAAAAGGTAATGATGAAAGTGAATAATTTCATCTTTTCATTATTTCAATTAACCACCCTTCAAATTATACGCTGGGCAGATTGCTAAACAAATACTTTCATAAGAATATCGACTAATTCTAACAATAACATAAAAAATCAAGGTATAAAAATAGTACAGCCACTTGATATTATTAAACCCACATTAGCAGTAATCAGGGAGGAGGGGCATTGTATTGCGATCTCCGAAATAAATGTATAAATATACAGGGTGTTTCATTACTAATTGGGAATATTTCAACTGAAGAATTCTCTAAGTTCAAAATATGAAGATCAATGCCAAATACCTAGAAGAATTTGCCCCATGTCTGAGGATTTCATAGTTATATATTCAATTATACATAGTAGTGAAAAATCCTATAATAATAGTATGTGCATTTATGCCAACGAGAATATAGCATTTCCCTGAATTCAATATCCCAGGTAGACAGTGACTCCCAAGAAGGTATTGTATGTAACTTGTTCTATGAGTACACTCCTGGAAGTCCTGGATCACTTATCCCGGTCCTGCACGAAATCGCGTTGGAAGGAAGCGTCGACGGAAAATTAGATGGCGTTACAATTTCCACTTTCCACCAAATTGATCACGCCTTTTCGCTGCCATGGCAACCCAAAAGTGTTAGATTCACAGTAAAGTGATCTAAAAACTTTCGACAAAGTCCATGTCCTAATAATAATTCCGCCTGAAATCACTATACCGGCATACATAAAACAAGCATTAGCGTTACATGCACTAAAGTAATAAAATTACGTGTTACGTGGATATTTTGGAAAGGTAATTTCGAAGTAAGATAATGGATACAATGGCGGATTCAACGAAAGCTTTCGCGGAGACACGTTTGAGGACAACACGAGAGGCGGAATTGTTGCAAAGTTTCGTGAGGATTACCGTTGATGATCACGATATCAAGTTGGAGGAGAAAGAAGCTGACAAGGAGGACGTTAAGAAAGTTGAAGGTAAAGGAGAAATACTGCAGTGCGATATACGTATACGCATCGAAATGCGAAATCAATATAGGTACCTACTTTATGATACAAGATAGGTTTAAGTACCTACCTATTCACCTTCTGCACTGAATCAACATTCATTGGAGCCATCAATAGTATATATAAATATATGATTAAGTGACGGAGTTAATTTCCTTTGTTTGCTTCGAATATACAATTTGGACCTTCGAATTTTTCAAGTACCTATATGATCATTCTTATTACGTCAATATTTGCTATGCATGTAATGCGTTTTCAGAGGTAGGTATACAATAATATGAATAGTAGATATATATACCGCGTGGAAACCTATGAGGTTGACAGGTGGTTGAAAAAATTCAGGAAAAAAGAACCAATTTCCAAAAAAAAATTGGCCTGTCTTGAGTATTTCTCAAAATATACTTCTATTATGAAGATACGTATTTTACTCCATCATAGGAGAGAGAGAGAGAAGGGGAGTCGTTGCTGACAAGTTAGAGATGAGACTTAGTAGTGGGGACTGGGGAAGCAGCAAAGTAAAAGTGAAACTCATGCAAGTTTGTCCAATAAGCTTTCGGAAAGTTATATTTTCATCATCAGGGCCAGATTACGAAATGTTATAAAAATTATAGGCAAAGCTAGTTGAATATGGAGTGCAGTACTTACAACTCATTGAGGTTGGTTAATTTTCATAATATTGCTGTCATTGTACACATAAAAAATCTAGTAGCCCTGAAGATGGAAATATACATTTCCGAATGCTCGGACAAACTGTAGTGAGTTCACCTTCACTATTTTCTAAGTTTTTCATCCTGCACCTGAACAAAAACAATTCTCATGTGAAAACAAACATTTTTGTAATGTTGTATCAATTTTTAGTCAAATATATCTAACAATTATCATAATTTATAACACCGTATAACACGTTCTGAATATTCGAGATAATTCTGTCGCTTCATTGTTCACGAAATTGTGTTGCCGTACAACAACACAATTGAGTTAAAATTGAAAGACAGAATTATTAGTAGATATTCAAAACAGAGTGGTATTTTGCTAGACTATTTCACGTGCACGAAGCATAAAAAGCATTCATTATAAATGAGCGAGTTCATTTTGACAACTGCGGCTAAAATCATTGTATCCCGAATTGACATGGTTCCATCGTTGAAAACACCAACGCTGGATAGACCAATCAGAATCGAAAGACACCTAGTGCTTTCGCGATAATACAAGTCTCTTGCTTGTGTATATGGTCAGATTATGTCATGAGTGAAATAGTCATTGTAGTCCAATTGAATTCATGCATGCACTGTTTCACGTCACTAGTTGGATAAACTAAATATTTCCCAATATACCGAAATTGTAGATACCCATTAATCTGAAGCGATGTAGAAATTGAATGTCATGAAATATCCTGCACGCATGCAAGAGAAGGAGAAATTAATCGTTTCTTGTAAAATATAGAGTAGGTTTGAAGCATACGCTCAAAACTATAATGATTGATCAGAAAATAGCCTGACTTCCAATCAGGATTCAATCCAATATTTCGGGAGTAAATGAAATAAGGTAATCCAGCATTTTCTCCTATAAATACGGCGAAGTATATCACTGTGTTGCGAAATTCACCAATTTGCTCCTTCAACACCAGTGGTGGAAAATTTGATGTTTCTAAAATTCACAGAGAATTAATGTGGTGGGGATATGTTGTGTTGCTTAATTTACCTCAAGATTTACCTGGTGAACAATATGATGATTTGAGGATATAACTGTAATCAAAATGAATATTTCACATCGTGTTCCATTTCAAAATTCGCGAATATTGCAGACCCAAGAATGTAATCACTCAGAACTAACCCCAATTTTCGAAAACGGCAACGAAATCACAACTTGAAATAACATGTTATTTCAGTGAAAATTCCACACCAGTGATTTCTATACACTTAATTTGGGTTTTCATGACAAATTACTATAGCAACGTATGAATTTTAGTGGAAATTTTTTTCTCGTGGGTACCCACCAGCGAATGAAATTCGGAATTTTTTTATGACGTTTTAATGACAGAATAATATTTTTTCTGTGACGGGAAAAAAGTTTGGCATTTCATCTCTGTTGGCGGGTTATAAAATGTCACTTTTCATAAATTACTTTTTTCCTGCGGGAAAAAAGTGAGTACTTTTTTCCCGGATATATATCACATAAATAAACACTGTTGAAGGCTTTGGTTGTGCTATATTTCCGAAAAATGAGTCAATAATACCGTCTCCGAGAAAGAAAGAAGTCCTTTTATCTTCCATTCGACTTCGCGGGCACGTATATTACTAAAAAACCACTAAATTCGCAATTTCTTGAAATCAAATCACAGAATTATAGACTGACAAAAGTGACATCAGATATTTGATTACTTATTCAAAAGAATGATAAAGATGCCTACAACGCAGGTGTTGAAATTTCACGTCGATAATTTTCAAATTTCAAAATAATGTAAAATCTTCTCAATATTGATCCGTCCTTTTTTCTGTCACAGAAAAAAATAGTGTATTATACACGGGAAAAATATTAGATTTTAGCTCACGGTTTTTTGTATTTTTGATTTCCAAACACAATCTGGTGTTAAATTTTCTTACCGAATACCACACGAGGTCAAATTACTTTCCGGGAATTTTTTCTCGCTCATGAATATTTCAAAAATCATCCCTCGTCTTCGACACGGAATAATTTTCAAAATATCCATGAGCCGGAAGAAATTTCCAAAAATAATCTGACCTCTAGTGGTATTACAAGTGAAAAATGGACCCACCGACAATTCATCAACCCATGACGTCACTATGGTGGAGATACACCAAATTGGTGAATGTTTACACAGTAGATACATATTATGTATTGCTGGATAGGACCTTTGTTGATCATTTATTATCATTGCATGTTTGTAAAAAAACTAGAAGTAGCAAAATGCAACTGATTAAAATATGCAAAAAAAATACTAGAACTCAATATTTTCATAACTGTTCAGTGTTCTGCGGTTTGGCTGATCCAATGACATGTTGATCGGTTCAGCGAAGTGTTTTATCTATAGAAAAATCGAGAAACATACTAACTCCTTTGATACAGAACCATCCACAGAAGCTAAGGGCAAGCAAACGATTCCATTAGAAACGTCTAAGAGGCTGTCCAGAGAGCTGCAAGATGACGCCAAGAAGAAGAAGAAGAAGCGGAGAAGAAGATTCGGCCCGAAATACGAAGAAGTTTACTGCGACAAAGATCGTGCTGCAGCTGTTGATTTGGGAACCAAGGACATCAAGCAGTCCCTGCGTATAAAGAGGAAGGAGGACAGATCCAAGATGTTGCAGATTCCAGACGAAGCAGAACCTGGGAATTTTCTAGCACTGGGCAACTATGAGATGTGTAGAGGCGACCTACGGAACGCCATTGTGTTTATATCGAAGGCAGGACTTAAATACTCAATAGTTTTGGAATATTTTGTTGAAGTTGTATTTCTGAATCCAAATGTCATATTGAATATCATCACTTCATGGTAAACTGAAAAAGAAGGTAGTTAAATGTCCGGTTCATCAGAGGAGACCTACGGCCAGAACTGAGTGACCAAAGGCAACCGCCGGGAATAAATATGCATTATATTTTCTTTATGTTTGAGGAATGGGTCAAATGAAACAACTAGGAAAATTATTTTACTGACTACACTATCAGAGATGTCAAAGTTTCAAGACTTCCAAATTGATATCGAATCCTACAACTTGAATATTGTATATACTCTTCACAATTTTCCTGTCGAATTTCTTTGGGAAGTCGCACTATATCAATTAATATTCCTGAAATGAAAATGAATCTCCGAACACTTTATTTTGAGCAGATTACGTATAAGGTTTGGTTCCGATTCCACAAGATCCGAGAAAATTGCTGGATTCACAAAAACGGTTTCCCGAAATAGATATCACGATGAATTCGAAGGATAACCCAGTTTGATATGAATCTGAGTTCGGCATTGCATGTCTCATTCTGAACTTCCGTAATATAACTCCGAGTGCATGGTCTGAAGAGAAATAAGAGTCGATTCAAAACAAACTATCGAGCATCGAGTATGGAAGCGGAACAATTTTCTTTTTTTATTCCATTTTTATCTCATTTATTTCCAAGAGTTCATGATACGAGAGTTTTATACGGTTTCAAATCGCACATACCTATATGTATATTCCTATATTTCATCAATGCGTCATATAGATGAGATATTAGCATATTCACACAATCAATTTTATGATGGAATCAGTGGTCGAGGATGTGAGTTCTTTGGTGACGATTGAGTGATGACCAAACTAACGAAATGGACTCGTTTGATATCTTATTTAGTGAAGAATGGCTGATTGAAGTTCAGATTTTTCAAGTGATATCGAGGAAGCACCACAAAATACACAATTCTTCGTCCAATTCATCACCAGTTATGTAATATTTTACTTTACGCAACTGGTTCCATGAAGTAAGATGTTTCAAAACTTCCGTCAATTTTGAGAAGAAGCATCAAATTACATATCAACACTCAGAGAAATACTCGGTAGTGAATACCAAACGTTTAGTAGAATAGGCGCCAGTCGCTACATTCATCAACTAATACCACTACAAAGTTGTACTATACTAAACTATGAGTATTATACTATTTTGTAGTGGTAATATTTGATATAGTACACACAGAAAAAAGATTTCTTCGAATGAGAAAACCCATTCTCTTGAAAATTCAATGGTATATCTGCTTTGAATTGAGCATATTCTTTTGAGTCAAAAAATCTGGTATGTTCAAGAAAATAGTGTCATATTATTGAAATATATTCTTGAACCAAGAATGCAATCATTCAGTTGATAAATTAATTACTTCAACTCAATCAAAAGGGATTTTTCAATTCGCAGAAGCGTACTATTTTGTTTCAATAAATTTATTGCTTGATCCAAGATTATAAGTATACATTTCTTCAAATCAAAGAATGCTCATATCTTCGAATGATATATTCAGTTTTCTCAAGTTGCAAAAACCGAATATGTTGAGGCAATACGTAATTTTCTTGATACAAAAATATAAATAATTATTTCTTCAAATGAAGCATTCTAATTTCATTATATTGATATTACCATTTCATCAACTCGAAGACTTCTGATAGTTCAATTCTATGCCATACTCACTTGATTCAAAAATATGAATATCAATTTTCTCAAATGAAGGTAATGTAATATCTTCAACTTGATGATATTAATATTTTCTCTAACTAAAGAAGCAACATTTTGATTCAATACTTCATTTACTTGATTCAAGTCTATGAGTAGGTATTTCTTTGAATGAAAATGATATGCCTCGAAAATCAAGGGTAAGCAATCCTGTTGCCAAAACTCAGTCCCCAGTCTAAAATCATTATTGACAATGCTCACATCATTTGAAAATTTTTAATGTTTTATATTGAGTGTGTATTAGGTGTGAATTGTCTTAGAACATAAATATCTAACAAATGCTGAACTTGTCGAGAGCTGATGAAGGTACAACATTGAATTCCCTTGGTAAGTAGGTATTTGCAAATTTCGGTAGTCATTGTGAGTGAATCAACAAATTTTCAATCAAAATAACTGGAATTTAATACCATTCTGCTATGAAAATATGCTCATTCTGTAATACGAAATTCTTTTGTAGCAAAATGACGACTGGTTGATGAATGAAGAAGTATTATCTACAAATGGGAAATGGGATATTGCAAAGACTTGAAAGAACCTTGAAATCAGGTGAGAGAAAGTTTCCTGCCGAGTATCTCGAATCTATATACCCGATATCTTCCAGAAGGCATGACATTACTGGAGTCACGATAATACATATTATAGAGGTGAGTTTTTAATCAATTATAATACTCATGTCATTGTTTGTGAACGTTATCATTTTCAGCAAAACTTCAAGAAGACGAAATCAATGCATGCATGGGATTATTCTATAACCATTTGGGGTCATGATGGACTAAACTGATCCAAGATGTACCTATACATGGGATTATGGTCAACTAAAGAAACAAAAATATATTTTTACACGAATATTCTGTGGAGTTTAATTATCTCATAAGGAAACATTCACAGTTTTGAATAAAAAACATCATGATATTTTCAACTGAGCAGTCAATATTTTGAAACAAAAAATAGTCCCATTGGAGAGAATGAGCTAAATATTCATTATGAAAAACTCATAAATTCGGATCAAGAATATCAATGTTTTTATTAAAGATTAACAGAATTTTGACTAGAATAAATTGTTTATTTTGAAATGAAAGAGAACAATTCTCAATAAAAGTAATCCATAGTTGCAAATTAGGAAAATTATTGTTTCCACTTGGTGGATGGATTTCTCACCTCAAAATTATGGTTTTCCTGAAATAAGTAAATGGTTTTGTCAATATGAATTGATTTCATTCTCACTTCAACATAACAGACGTCTCCAACCATGCATATCTTAATTTTTCTACAAGAGACTTGTTGAATAAATCATTGTTTCGGAACAAGAATATCATCTCTTTCGTTATATACAAACAAATTATTTTCTTGGACCAATGCAGTCATGCTCAATACAAGAGATTCTTTTTTTGTGTGTATAGTATTATATAATGTTGTAGTGATTATATCAGTTGTGACTGGAGCCTATTTTACTAAACGTTCGGTAATAACTGCCATCTTTTTTTTTCAGTGAAAATTAGAAAAACAAAATGACAACAAAAATACGAACCGTTTATTATAGAATCTTTCGAACTCACATCGGGAGCCTCTCAAAAGTCACAGAGGTGGTTCGATTCTTCTAGCTATACCTGGTACACAGCGTGTTACATTATTATTGTGAAGGAATGCATTGATCCATTCCCTGAAAGGATAGGAGGCCTATTTTTGATAGGACGGTTGTTCTCGAAATACCGCGTCAAATTCCAAAATATCAACTTTTTCAATACTGGGTGTCATAGATTTAAATATACTGACGAATTCTTCTACAGATCTTGTCTTGACAAATAGCCCGGAAACTAGTTATTTTCCGTTGAGTATTCAGAATGATATTTTGTGCATACTTATATATGTTTTTATCTGAAGGGAATTCGAATTCTCAACTCCAGGAGATTATTCAGTGTTCGTCGTGGCTTATAGCCAGGAAAGTAGTTGTTTTCTGTTGAATAAACCGAGAGAAAACTATTTTTTTAGCACAAAAAAATGCGAATTTCTCAATGTATTTCCTCATGCATATAAATATCCATTTTTTTATGTTCAAATGTCTGAGAATATTCTTTTTCAATACCTAAATATACCTACATTTGAGTGACATCAAGGTTCATTTAACTTTGACTTCCAACTCTAAGCATCTAAGTCTAGTCTTGGAGACAAAAAAATAGTTATAAAATTATTGCTCAAATTACTAAATTGTATATTAGTAATAATACTCAAAGAAATTAGTGGCGTACATGTTTTTGTACCCTCCAAAACTTCACTAGTAGATAATTAAACGAATTCTAGCCACATTAGAGTATTTCTTCATCTCGAACAAAAATACAATGAAATTGAAACCAATGATATTTGTATGAGTGCACAGAAAAGGATTTCTATTATGTATTTAAATTATTTTGAACTATTGGAGGTCATAACTTCTTGGTTATACTTCTTATGGGAAAGAATTCCAAAGCTTAGCCGTTCTCTAGACAAACAAATTCTGATAAAAATTTCTTCGCGATTTCAAGACCTGATTTGTGTTCTCTTTATATTATCATAAGAAGCTGTTGAAGTCCAAAATTGCTTTTCGCTAGAATGACCTAATTTTCCAATGACAGAGTATTAACAGATCTTCTGAAAAACTTCGGCACCCTGTACCTATTTTGAAAAATATACTGATCCATGGAAAATAGCCACTTTCTATAATATCAATATAAATCACTTCGTACAGTCTGATGAAAAATAATTTCAGTATATCAAGAATTGTCGCGTTAACTGAATCATTTCATCAGCAATTCTTTTTTCTTGTATGTCCTCCAGGCTTTGGAACTCAACCCAACCGAAAAGAACGCTCTTGTAGCCAGAAGCAAGTGTTATATTTTGTTGGGACAACCTAAGAACGCTCTACAAGACGCCGAACTGGCTCTACAAATCGATAAGAATTTCATCAAAGCCATTTACCAGAAAGCCGAAGCACTCTACTATCTGGGAGATTTCGAGTTGAGTCTGATGTACTGTCATAGGTGAGTGAGAACATCAATATGAATCGATGAATTCGTTGTTTCATTACTACTTTCAGAACAGAGTCATAAATCGATATAGTGATCAGAGTTGCGAAATACGTGATCTTTAACACAGATATATCATAATCTGTTAGGAAGTACATAAATTTTCCACCAAAAGTGAATTAATCGCAAATTGGTCAACAAGTTTTGTTTTCAGGGGCTTACATGTTAGACCTGATCATGAAGGATTCAAGTTAGGGGTACATAAAGCTCAAAAAGCGATCGAAAATGCAATCGGAAGTATTTCGACGACGAAGAAAAACAAACGCAAAGAACAGGGACCTGCAGTTGGAAAAGTGACAGGAGGAGATGATAATATTCAAAGTGAGTGCAGTTCCTATTGCGAGATGAATATTGATAGGTACACAATAGTATATTGTTTAACGAGCACGGAATGATAGTGATTGTCTACAGTCTACGAGAATGATGCAGCATGAGCCATAGGCGAATGCTACAATCATTCGAGTAGGAAATTAGCATTCCGTGCAAGTTATACACTATAATTTTTCTACGGCTATAATAGATAACAGCGGCATTTTCGAATTCTTCGTCTTGTAGCCATCTGATTTCCTGTCAAGATGCTGTCAAGTAATGCTCATCTATAAGACAGAGATCTATCCACCTTGGACAGAGCTGTAATTGCTTCACATTTGACATTCCATGAGCCATTGTGATATCAGATACGGAAATAATATTGATGACATACATCGTACCTCATTGACGTATCGAACACAGTAAAACAAGAGCAATTTTGTGTTATAGACGTATAGAAAAAATATAAAAATTGCTCTATTTTTTTATATATTTCACTGAAACTGGCGCGTTTTTTACTGGAAATCTTATAGGCAGTAATATTTTCTTCATTTATCTGCAAAAAACAATGATAAATACTTCAACAATTACATTTCAATAGCTCTAACAATTATTACATTAGTTTGACAGATGTCATTATGCCACATTATTTAATTGTTATTTATCCTTGATTTTGCAAAGGTAACTTTGGCGCTTTTTGAATGATTTGCGTGCATTGTCGGATTTTAGATGCATTTGTACTGGAACCATTGCTTCTAGCGACTTGGACAAATCAAGTATTCCTTCATTGAGTATAAAAGAAGGAATAAAAAAATTTTTCAGTCGAAATTGACATAACAGTGTATAGCAAAAAGTTACGACCGATGGATGGAACCCTATATGTAGCGCCCTCTATCAGTAATCACATAACTAAGACAATATTTGAATTTAGCATGATAAAAAACCCCATTTGGTCTATTTCTTGCGTCTCTTGCTAATTTGAAAAAAAGAATTCTACACCCCGTATCTTTTAACCGAAAGACTTGCGGACCCATGTTCTTGCATGGGAATTTTTTTAATTATTTTAGAGTCCTATATTATGTGGCACTATGCACTGTACTTTTTTCTATGTCACCCTGTATAGATTATCCATAAGAAATAAATCAGATCAGGAACAGTCAAATGTGATTATTTCATTATTCAAAGCAGAGATAAGTTACCTCTTTTTCAGGTCCTGCATCAAAAACTAGCAATAAGACTACTCCTTCAGGATCATCTCGTTCGAAGTCTTCAAGGAAAAGCAGACTTCTGAGAGAATTGGAGACTGATAAAGAATACTTGGATAAATTGATGAATAATCCCAATATCAGGTGCAAATTCACAGAGAACAACGATACGATAGAGACGTGTATAAAGGAAACAGTGGAATACTTGAATGAGAGGCAGGAGTTTTGGAGACAGCAGTTGCCAGCACATCTGAAATGAACCTATATTCGAAAAAGCTTGAGATTTGAGAATTACTTTACTAGTATATTAGTCGTCGAAACGTGCTTCACTAGATATAGTCAAAATAAAATAATTGCAATTAATTCTGAAATGTTTCAATAAACTATGTAAGAATCATTGTATTTCTGAACTAACCAGCAATTCACTTCGATTTACCAGCAAAAAATGCCAATATTGAGTCAATAGGGTGAAACTGCTTGAAAAATGGAGGTCCATGGTATCAATCTTGGCTTCATTATTTTATTATCATAAAAGCGAGGTAGGTAAGGATATATGTGGTATATATCATCGAATAATGTACTAGAATCTAGTCTAGAAATAGGAACATGCACTGAATCAAGTACTATTCGACAGGTATTGCCATCTATTCACGAGAATCCTACCTTTGGAAAGTAGTTTCCTGTAACATTGAAAAGTAGTTTCCTATACTGATCTAGCAAATCAAAAAGAAGAGAGCTCTAACTATACAGACCTGTACCAATCAAATATATCCAAGAGATGCCGCTAAAGTGAATTCAAGATTACTTCCTGATATCAGTAAGTAGATGGATCATGTTGGAGTATAATATACAGTGTGGAGAATTTAACTGGAATGAATTCGCTAGCAAGGACGTGAATCTTTTTTCTCAAAATTCCCGACATACGTCAACCGTATAATGTATTCATCAACATTGCGCAACCAATATCGAGAAAACATTCCTTCGAAGGTAGCTGAAACCATATCTTCGACATGTTTGATAATAAGTGATGAACATTCGAACCAACTCAGACTTTTATTCCGTGCGATAATATAGCTTCTCATGATCTACAAAGCACAGATACGACCAGTTTTAGAATACTGTTCTCCATATGGGGTTCAGCACCCAAATATTCGCTGATGCTCTCAAATAGATTCCATCCATAGAAAAGGCATTCGCCTGGTAATTGATGCCACACTCAAAAATTATATTTGAGCTCATTCCCATGGAGCACAGAATATTCTATGAATGAATGAATGAACTTCTAACAGTTTTTGGGTGATGTTTTTTTGGAGTGTGTGAAATAAATATCACCCTAATGGTTACTTTTGAAACATACAGTTATGAACATATTTTCCTATTCCTATTTTTCTGCTATATCGATCCCTGAAATATTTTCCATACGCTTCAAGGTATACTGAGAATATTTCTAGATCATTTTGAGGATTTTCTATATATTCGAAGGATGTTCTGAGAATGTCCTGAAAAATATCAAGAGAAAGTTCTGGGAACGTGAACTTTCGTCCCATCTACATGCTCTTAGAATATTTTCAGAACATTCTGGGAATATTCGAAATGTTCCCAGGAATATTCTAAGAAACGTTCTCAGAATCACTTTGTGCTTCCTGGGGTATAAGGAAAGCGTAGAAAAGTTGGTAACCTTTCACTTTTCCATAGAAACTCCCACAGGAAATGTACTTCAGAAATCTCTGCTATGATTCTATCACTATAGTAATACCAGTCAGACGAACTCGACAGGCCTATCAGTTAGCACATCTTTGCATTGTCAACCTTGAAATATGTCGAACAAGCGAACAACACTTTAGCAAAACTCGTTCGTGTATATATAATGGCAAAGCTTCGGAGTTCTTCACTCCCAAGAATATGGACTAATAACCTCCAAAAGTGCAAAAAAATATCCATCACCTGCCTTATCTCCCTATCCTCCCTAGAAACGCACAGTGTTCTTGAAACATTATAGGAAATTTCAAGGAATTAAAAAGTAAAAATATATTTCCACTTTACATATTACAACTTCAATTTTCGAAAGTGAAGTGTCCTAGGGTAAAATTTCATGTATAATTTTCCGTCAGTTTCGATGTGAAGGTACTTTTCTATTATATGTCAGATCCATGACGAAAACTCCTTCACAAAAACTCGGATTTTTATTCCGTGCGAAAAGCTACTTCACACCTCAACAGCTTCTCATGATTTACAAAGCACAGATACGACCTGTTCTAAAATACTGTTTTCACATATGGGGCTCAGCACCCAAACATACTCTTATGCTCTTAGATTCCACCCAGAGAAGAGTAATTCGACTGGTGAGTGATGCCACACTCATTAACACTTTGAAATCATTGGATAACACCGTAGAAAGGTCGGGGACCTTTCACTTTTTTATAGATACTCCCACGGGAAATGGTCTTCAGAATCTCTTCTAGCATTCCACGACTATCAATACCAGCCAGACGAACTCGACAAGCGCAATCGACCTCGAAATATGTCGAACAGCACTATATCAAAACTCGTTTCTCTATATAGAACGAGAAAGCTCTGGATTTTATTGCCTGAGGAAGTATTTCTGAGAACTTATACAATCGGAAAGTTCAGAAAATAATCAAACACCTACCTCCTCTCCCTATCCTCCCTATAGGTACGCACGTACGTACGAACATTATAGGGATTCTCTTTCGTGCGCACCAAGCGATACAAAAATATATCTAATCATTTGTGAGATACCCCTTGTATATCCTTCGCTCACCAAGCTTTCATGAAATCCATCTCAGTGTCTATGGCATTTTTACGCATTTCCTGTAAGCCCCCATCATACCCTCATCCCTGGAAGCTTTACAAACAATTAAAAGACTTTCAGGACTTCAATGGGTATAGAGACAAGACAACGCTCTTCAGTCCTTCAGTATATGAAAAGGAGAGTCTATATTTACTTTTTCCGGGAACCTGACAGATGATATTGGGGGAACCGAGGATTTTGGATGCATCAAAGCAAGTTGAAACTCTGCTCTATGATGGAGTTTCAAGATTGGATTCCAGTGACGTGTTCCACTTTGAGTGGCCCCGCCCTCTTCATCAAAGTCATTAAATTTGGATTGCTGACTTTATCAGTAGTAACATCCCTAGGACATTGACAATCGAGTCACAATAAGCTTGAGAATTCTCATAAGAGTGAGGCATTTGTCAATGTCCGAGGGATATTCGGCGGAAAATAATTCGAAGTTGTCAAAGTCGATCGTGTTGTTATAGTGATTGATAATTGCACTCAAAATTATTTTTTTTCTGTGACGGGAAAAAAGTTTGGCATTGCATCTCTGTTGGCAGGTTATAAAATGTCACTTTTTATAAATTACTTTTTTCCCGTGGGAAGAAAGTGAGTACTTTTTTTCCGAATATATGTCATATATATATATACACTGTTGATGTCGTTTCTTCTCCGAGAAAGAACTGCAAGTCCTTTTATCTTCCATTCGACTTCGCGGTTACATATATTACTAAACAACCACCAAATTCATAATTTGTGACATCAGATATTTGATCACTTCAAAAGAATGATAAAGATGCCTACAACGCAGGTGTCCCTACTGTTAAAAACTTAAAATTTCACGTCGATAATTTTCAGATTTCAAAATAATGTAATATCTTCTCAATATTGATTCATCCTTCTGTCACAGAAAAAATAGTGTATTATACAGGGGAAAAATATTAGATTTTAGCTCACGGTTTTTTGTCACAACACAACCTGGAGCTAAAATCTACTACTTTTTTCACTTGTATAATAAATAACTATTTTCTACGGCTATAACACGAGATTGCTCTTGTTTTACTGTGTTCGATACATCAATGAGGTACTTTGTATGTCATCACTTCTATTTCCATATCTGATATCACAATGTCCCTATTGTGTTATTATTTCAAAAAAGCTAATCTCCCTTGGAATGTAAAATTTCAAGCAATGACAGCTCTGTCTAACAGATGAGTATTACTTGAGAGGAAATCAGATGGCTACAAGACGAAGAAATCGAAAATGCCGCTGTTATCTATTATAGCCGTAGAAAAATTATAGTGTATAATTTGCACGGAATGCTAATTTCCTACTCGAATGATTGCAGCATTCGCCTATGGCTCATGCTGTAAACTTTATTTTCGTAGGAAAACACTATCATTTCGTGCTCGTTGCACAATATACTACAGTTCTCAACACACCAAATGGACCACTCATAATTTCACTCTATTTCGAAGACCTGTATTTTTTAAAAAAATTGTCCGATCTTCATGCGGTTTTCGATATCAGATGTGATGTTTCATCGGCTTCGAAGAGAGCTAGAACACTCTGAAAAAGTCCGCAAACCAAAACTTACACAGGGTGTAAAGTGGAACCATTACACTATGGTCTCCATTTCCAATGCTGCCAGAACTCGAGAAATTTTTTTCTGATCAAAAGTCAGTCATATTATGATACACTGGGACGTCATCTCTCCTTAATTGGCCATTGGAACAAGAATTCGATTTTTTTTCGAAAGTCTTGCATTTCTTGACTTTTTTCTCTAGAACTCTACTTGAGCTGACTATTGGGACGAACTATTCTCATGTTTTATGGAGGATAATGAAAGACGAAAAAAGCACTTTTTTAGAATATACAGGATGATAAGAAAATAGGACAAAATCTCATTTCAGTAAAAAAACTCAAAAATGGTGACTAAAACCATGGCCCATTCGATCCAGTATATTCAGAAACGGCCTTCTCGATATCCATTATTTATATTAGACTATTGACTCGAGATGTTTTCGAAAATTCGCCTCTAATTGAAACACAGGATGAAAATTTTCAATTCAAACTTGTTTCCTGATATTGATGATTTCCAATATTTATTGCCCAAGTATGAGACACAGAGTATTGTTGTTCAATGTACTGAGTGTTCTACAACTCATCTGACAAATTTATATCCACTTTATATCCACTAAAACTATTCGAAAAGGGATCTATTGGCGAAATATGACATTAGTGAATTCTTCAGCATTATGAAGATCCAACAAGAAAGTCCTATATCCTAAATTTCAGTACTTGGTAGGCCTCCCCGATTCAACAAAACCTCATGAAATCGGTTTGGCATAGATTCTATGAGGTTGTTGATGAAGTCTATTGATATTGCCGCCCATTCTGGATAAGGTTGTCATTATTTTGGGGTGCCTTGCCTTCTCGATAGGTTGAGTTTCATTAGGCTCCACACATGTTCAATCAAATTCAGATCTGGAGATAATGCTGGTCACCACATTCTTCTAACATTATTGTTTTCTAGAGTTCGTAATTTGTCAGATAAGTTGTGGAACACTCAGTATATTGAACAACAATACTTTGTGTCTCATTTTTGGGCAATTAATA